ACCAGATAGTGACCATAGTGAGGGGGTCGACCAGATAGTGACCATAGTGAGGGGGTCGACCAGATAGTGACCATAGTGAGGGGGTCGACCAGATAGTGACCATAGTGAGGGGGTCGACCAGAGAGTGACCATAGTGAGGGGGTCGACCAGATACTGACCATAGTGAGGGGGTCGACCAGATAGTGACTATAGTGAGGGGGTCGACCAGGTATTCATGAAAATGCACAGTGTTTAAAAATTCACTGCTGCTAATTTGGCGTAGAATTACGCATTGGCTTAGCGGAACGAGCTTAAATGGACCATATCTCAGGTGAGTGTAACTAATCACAGGTAACGAGGCCATTGTACGCCAGATGATCCTTGTTAATTAGCATTGAATTCAGCTTCACTTTCATTATCTTAAAAAATGTAGACGATACCTTGGACTGGTACATTTTTTTTTGGTTTAGTTATATTATTGTGATGACAGTACTGCAAGGTACTGTTATCTTAAATGACAATGATTGCTATCTTGCAAGACGGGAACATGAGAGAGAGAGCATCTTGATATCTGTCACATGAGAGAGAGAGAGCATCTTGATATCTGTCACATGAGAGAGAGAGAGAGAGCATCTTGATATCTACAACATGAGAGAGAGCATCTTGATATCTGTCACATAGACAGTTGTATCAGTGAAGTGTATATATCTGAGGTGAGGTTACGCAATACCTTAAGCAAAGACAATATGCAAATGAGAGGACGAATACCTTTATTGATGACTCAAGTCATCAATAAAGGTATTGATGACATCTCACACACAATATAGATATTGTGTGTGAGATGTTATATTGAGATGTTATCTTGAGATGATTTCGGGGCTTTAGTGTCCCCGCAGCCCGGTCCTCGACCAGGCCTCCACCCCCAGGAAGCAGCTCGTGACAGCTGACTAACACCCAGGTACCTATTTTACTGCTAGGTAACAGGGGCATAGGGTGACAAAAACTTTGCCTATTGTTTCTCGCCGGCGCCCGGGATCGAACCCAGGACCACAGGATCACAAGTCGAGTGTGCTGTCCGCTCGGCCGACCAGCTCCCTCCCTGTGTGTGTATAAGTTCGAACTTAGTGTTCAAGGCAGGCGACCAATCAATACCGAATCAACACTATAAATTAACCTGTCAATCTCATTGCCTCTTGTCCATCTTCCAGTGTCTCTTGTTTGTGGGAGAGCGAGAGTGTGTGTGTGTGTGTGTGTGTGTGTGTGTGTGTGTGTGTGTGTGTGTGTGTGTGTGTGTGTGTGTGTGTGTGTGTGTGTGTGTGTTTTGTGTGTGTTGTGTGTGTTGTGTGTGTGTGTGTGTGTGTGTGTGTGTGTGTGTGTGTGTGTGTGTGTGTGTGTGTGGTGTGTGTGGTGTGTGTGGTGTGTGTGTGTGTGTGTGTGTGTGTGTGTGTGTGTGTGTGTGTGTGTGTGTGTGTGTGTGTGTGTGTGTGTGTGTGTGTGTGTGTGTGTACTCACCTATTTGTGCTTGCGGGGGTTGAGCTCTGGCTCTTTGGACCCGCCTCTAAACTGTCAATCAACAGGTGTACAGGTTCCTGAGCCTATTGGGCTCTATCATATCTACACTTGAAACTGTGTATGGAGTCAGCCTCCACCACATCACTTCCTAATGCATTCCATTTGTCAACTACTCTGACACTAAAAAAATTCTTTCTAATATCTCTGTGGCTCATTTGGGCACTCAGTTTCCACCTGTGTTCCCTAGTGCGTGTGCCCCTTGTATTAAATAGCCCGTCTTTATCTACCCTGTCAATTCCTCTGAGAATCTTGTACGTGGTGATCATATTCCCCCTAAGTCTTCTGTCTTCTAGCGACGTGAGGTTTAATTCCCGTAGTCTTTCCTCGTAGACACTCACACACACACATGGGATATGAAGAGCTTCTGAAGGAACTGAACCTTACGACACTAGAGAAAAGAAGGGAGAGACGAGATATGATAGGGACATATAAAATACTCAGGGGAATTGACAAAGAGGAAATAGACGAAATGTTCACACGTAATAGTAACAGAACGAGGGGACATGGGTGGAAACTGGAAATTCAGATGAGTCACAGAGATGTTAGGAAGTTTTCTTTTAGCGTGAGAGTAGTGGAAAAATAGAATGCACTTAAGGAACAGGTTGTGGAAGCAAACTCTATTCATAATGTTAAAATTAGGGACAGGAGTCATTGCTGTAAACAACCGATGGCTAGAAAGGCAGGATCCAAGAGTCAATGCTCGATCCTGCAAGCATAAATAGGTGAGTACACACACAATAGCACATCAAAACAAGCACATAAGCATAAACATATATGAAATAAAACGCATTTATAAGTTAGCAATAAGAGCTGAAGACAGCAATAGCTGAGAGCCACAGCGGCAGCCTGGCGTGTCGGGCCGCCATGAACACTGAAGTAATACTCGCTTATAAAATATGCTCGATTAATACCACCTTGAGGAGTCCAGTAATTACCAGTTGTCGGGGAGTGATGGACCACACGAGACACGTTCAACACATACACGAAGCCTCACTACACACACCTGAACCACACCTGACACGCTGAACAAGTACACGTGGCTAGAGAACAAACAATGGTAAACTAGTGCCTCGATAAACAAGTTAGACATAACTAGGGAACAAACAACATTAAACTCTTGTAGCGGTAAACAGACTACGTGACTAACCAAAAGAGTGGCAGCGGTAAATATGATTTACACATTTGTAAATCGTATCGCTATCCATCCATCCAGCCCTCCGTCTATTGATCCATCTATCCAGTCGATAGAGGCGATAGATCGACCACTCGTCGACAGAGGGAGCAGGTCGATAGACGTGAGGCGATAGATCGACCACTCGTCGACAGAGGGAGCAGGTCGATAGACGCATGGCGATAGATCGACCGTTCGAGACCCCCCTAGAATAAGTGCTGCCCATGATGATTACCCTGGGTCAATACTTCCCAAGGAAGGCCTCGCCAGCCATTTATCCGGCCATTGATATTTTCTCCTTTTTTAAGTCTATCTCAATTTTCTTGTCTAATCAACATTCATAATTTATTATAATCTTGCATATCAATGCTTGCGGGTCTATTATTGGTTCGATCTCGTTGTCTGCGATAGATGTAAGCTGGGAAGATTTTGGATGACGCGACATTGTCTTCATAGCGAAAATGATTTAGGAAAGTAAACATGAATATGGTTATATCTGCTGGAGGTGGCGGCTCTCAGAAACCCAGCTGAGACACAGAGTATTGGATAGATGAGACAGAGTAATAGACAAAAGCGAGATGAGACACAGAGAGTAATAGACAGAAGCGAGGTGAGACACAGATGTAACGAGGCACTTTTACAGCGTCTGTACATGTAGATGGTTTAAAGTGGAGACATTATACGACCTAGAATGCAAGCACTCGACCAAGAAAATATAGACCCTTATATAACCATATTTACATGCTCACACACACACACACACACACACACACACACACACACACACCAAAGACAAAGCTCACCCCCGCAGCAGCACACACACACACACACACACACACACATACACACACACACACACACACACACACACACACACACCACACACGCAGGACGAACCAGAACGGACTAGGCACAAGAAACATTAACGTATGAGCGGCCGGTGGAACAGAAAAGAGTGAACGCCCAGGAGATATGTGAGTGGGAACAAGGCAATTTAGGAGCCCAGCTGAGGAAAACCCGAGACAAAGTGGCAGTAACTAATGGCCGTATCAGAAGACAATGTCCAGAACTACCTCAGCGGTAGTTACGGACACTGAAGCAGCGGGAACAGGTGTCTGAAGATCGCTACAAGACGGCGAGGACACTGAAACCAAGAGGCCTCAACCGGCCGGCAAAAAGAGTACCTCTTTGTCGCAGAATAAAAAAAGAAATGATATACGCAGGATAGTCTTGAAGCCTCGAGTACTCACTCGCTGGAAATTGTCGCTCAAAATGCCAGAGGATATGTCAACGGTCCTGGGTCTTTCCTGTGACTAGTCTCTCTCTCTCTCTCTCTCTCTCTCTCTCTCTCTCTCTCTCTCTCTCTCTCTCTCTCTCTCTCTCTCTCTCTCTCTCTCTCTCTCTCTCTCTCTCTCTCTCTCTCCACGTGCTTCATCACCCAGAGCCTAAGTTCAATATCTGAGTGTACAAGGGTTGTTCCTATCTACCAAGCAATCATGCCAGCCCTCCCTATTGCCACGATGACACTCCACTCTCCCACTCCTCACAAGCCATAAAACCAGCCATGAGGCGCTTCTACACAGACAAAACAGCGCCTCATAAAACACACACTCACACCTACGCGTATCTCTCAGGCTGGGAACATGTGCTCTCTCCTCATAATATTGCCCCTTCCCACTCTCTAATTCTTCCCACTCTCCACTTTAACCTTCTCACTTCCTCTCTTTGCTATATTCCACTTCTCATGAGAGTGGGTTGAGGGGGGTGAGTGCAGGGGTATTGTGTGGATTGAGAGGGGGCGTGGAATAGGGGCGTTGAGGTAGGGGTGGGGGAGGGAGGGGGTGGTGGGGGTGGGGGGGGGGGGGAGTGGGGATTGTGGGTATCAGGAAACCAGTCGGCCGGTTTAATCCACTAGACGGCTTGTTGGCTGTTGATAACTCATGGACCTGCTGACTGGCTTCTCACTCTCTCTCTCTCTCTCTCTCTCTCTCTCTCTCTCTCTCTCTCTCTCTCTCTCTCTCTCTCTCTCTCTCTCTCACTCTCTCTCTCTACTAGATTTTCTCTATTTTCCTACTAGAGGTAGGAAAATTATTTCTTTACTATAAGTTGGCATCAAATTATACAATAAAAACTCCCTGAAAACATCACGTTAAGTCACAGTGTATTATCAGATTTATTTTCTGAGCAATGAGACCAAAAACTTTAAAAAATACAACATTTTAGTTATACAACATATAAGGTGAGTATCCTAGCGCCCAGCAGCTGGATAGATGATATCATGCACTCATTAGATGATATCATGCACTCGTTAGATGATATCATGCACTCATTAGATGATATCATGCACTCATTAGATGATATCATGCACTCATTAGATGATATCATGCACTCATTAGATGATATCATGCACTCATTAGGTGATATCATGCACTCATTAGATGATATCATGCACTCACTAGATATCATGCACTCATTAGATGATATCATGTACTCATTAGATGATATCATGCACTCATTAGATGATATCATGCACTCATTAGATGATATCAAGCACTCATTAGATGATATCATGCACTCATTAGATAATATCATGCACTCATTAGATAATATCATGCACTCATTAGATGATATCATGCACTCATTAGATGATATCATGCACTCATTAGATGATATCATGCACTCATTAGATGATATCATGTACTCATTAGATGATATGCACTCATTAGATGATATCATGCACTCATTAGATGATATCATGCACTCATTAGATGATATCATGCACTCATTAGATGATATCATGCACTCATTAGATGATATCATGCACTCATTAGATGATATCATGCACTCATTAGATAATATCATGCACTCATTAGATGATATCATGCACTCATTAGATGATATCATGCACTCGTTAGATATCATGCACTCATTAGATGATATCATGCACTCGTTAGATGATATCATGCACTCATTAGGAGATATCATGCACTCATTAGATATCATGCACTCATTAGATAATATCATGCACTCATTAGATGATATCATGCACTCGTTAGATGATATCATGCACTCATTAGATGATATCATGCACTCATTAGATGATATCATGCACTCATTAGATGATATCATGCACTCATTAGATGATATCATGCACTCATTAGATGATATCATGCACTCATTAGATATCATGCACTCATTAGATGATATCATGCACTCATTAGATGATATCATGCACTCATTAGATGATATCATGCACTCATTAGATGATATCATGCACTCATTAGATATCATGCACTCATCAACTGGCCAACGAGGCTTGCATGAATATAGAACTATGACTGACTTTGGACCATCTAATGCAATTATTCAAAACACACACATTACAGTGATTAGTTTACATTTACAAGAATTAACAAGTTCCCAAACACCTGAAAAGCTGCAGTCTTCAAAGTTATCACAACAGTTGTAATGACAGGTATTTGTATGGTCAGCAGAGTAATTGGACCAGACAATGTGACGTAGTTGTTGTGGTAATTCGTCTTGGCTATTGGCCAATCTGGCAGGGTAGTTAAGGTGAGTGTTTCGAGTGATTGAGTATTTAACTGCTTCGTTGAATCTGGTATACTGGAAGTCATCTTAACTATTTATATATATATAAAAAAAATCGTCTATATGGAAAATGATGAATGAGGAATTGAATGAATGAATTTTTAGGGGTAAGCGCCAAGCCATTACGACTATATAGCACTGGGAAGGGTCAGGATAAGGATTTGGGATGGGACGGGGGGGGGGGAATGGTGCCCAACTATTTGGACGGTCGGGGATTGAACGCCGATATGCTTTAAGCGAGACCGCAGCTCTACCGTCCAGCCCAAGTGGTTGGATGATGAATGAGGAAAAGAAGAAAACAAAGAAAGAGGGGAATGAGAGAGGGGAAAGAATATTGAATTTTTATAGATAAATAGTTTTTTTTCGACTCTATGTCCCCTATTTCAGGCAGCTTATTTCGACTATCTCGAGACCGGCTCATTGATGTCCAACACACATTTGTACAACCACAAAGTTGTAGCTTTTATTCAAATTGGTTTAGCTGTTATGCTTAAAGCTAATCAAGTTCAAGTTCGTTTATTGAGACAAGAGAGAAATGCATCTCAAAGGGATAGAGTAGCTTAGGCTATTTCTACCCCTTAAAGCTAAATACATCTCAAAGGGATAGAGTAGCTTAAGCTATTTCTACCCCTTAAAGCTAAATACATCTCAAAGGGATAGAGTAGCTTAAGCTATTTCTACCCCTTAAAGCTAAATACATCTCAAAGGGATAGAGTAGCTTAAGCTATTTCTACCCCTTAAAGCTAAATGCATCTCAAAGGGATAGAGTAGCTTAAGCTATTTCTACCCCTTAAAGCTAAATGCATCTCAAAGGGAGAAGTAGCTTAAGCTATTTCTACCCCTTAAAGCTAAATACATCTCAAAGGGATAGAGTAGCTTAAGCTATTTCTACCCCTTAAAGCTAAATATATCTCAAAGGGATAGAGTAGCTTAAGCTATTTCTACCCCTTAAAGCTAAATACATCTCAAAGGGATAGAGTAGCTTAAGCTATTTCTACCCCTTAAAGCTAAATACATCTCAAAGGGATAGAGTAGCTTAAGCTATTTCTACCCCTTAAAGCTAAATACATCTCAAAGGGATAGAGTAGCTTAAGCTATTTCTACCCCTTAAAGCTAAATACATCTCAAAGGGATAGAGTAGCTTAAGCTATTTCTACCCCTTAAAGCTA